CCCTGCAGCAGTGCTGTGCATTGCCCTGCAGCGATGCCGTGCATGGCCCGGGGCGCCGTGGCCGCATCCCTGCAGCGCGCTGCATGCAGTCCCGTGCACCCGCTGCCCCGTGCTGCCATCGCCACCTTTGCCCGGACATCCTTCATTATTTGATCCTCTTCCCGCCTTTCCCAGCAGCCGGAGGCCAGGGAAGGAGCGTGGGGAGCAAAGCAGGAAACGAGAGCTCGGGGTGACCCCCTTGCTGTGGGTTTCTTAAACCCCACGCGTGGCTGAAGGCCCCGGGTGGAAGGCAGAGGCTGGGGGAGCCGCTCCGCAGCGCCCGGCGCCGGCTCCTCGGGATGCCCGGGAATGCCGGAGGAGCCGCTCGGGGCCGGTATCGGTGCTTGGCGTTTCGCAGTTGGTGGCTCTGCACATCTGGCGAGTTGTTTGTGTGCACAGCTGGCGTGGACGTGCACACCGGTGCGTTGTTTACGTGCACATCTGTGCATTGTGGACGTGCACATCTGGGGGCGGCCGCGCACGTCTCAGGGTTGAGGGCGCACGTCGGAGGCGGCTGTGCCTCTGCACGTGGGGATGCGTGGGGATGCGTGGGGATGCGTGGGGATGCTTGTGCACGTTCCAACCCAGGGATGTGTGGGGACACGTGGGGACGTGTGAGGATGCACCGTGCATGTTCCAGCCCGGGACCGCACGTGCCCGTCCCGCGGCTCTGCTGGGCGCTCGGAYCCCTCGGAGCCGCTGGCCAGGCCGAGCGGAGCGGGATTCCAGYGGCTCTGGAACCGGGGCTGGTGGGAGGAGAGGGGGATGAGTCTGTGTGGGGAGCCAGAGGCGGCAGAGCCTGTGGGAAGAGCCCCTTATGGATGCCATAGGGTGCTCCCTGGGATCTGCACCTGCGGGATCTGCACATGGGGGCCGGGTGTGGGGGGATTGGCAGGACCCTCGTTCCAGGGATGGGATCCATGGGAATTGCACCCAGCGCCGGGACCTGCAGGTCTGTGCCCGGAGCAGCCTGGATCTGCCCTGGACACATTCCCACGGCGGAGGTCAGTGTCCGCGGCCCAGCCGGGACCAGGTGTGTGGCCCATCCAGCCCCGGCGCTCACGTATCCCGGGATCGGGGCTGCYCGGCGGGAGCCGCAGCAGGAGCCGGGACGGTCCCTGCTCGTCGGTGGCTCCGCTCCCCTAATCCGCAGGGAGCAGCGAGGACGAGGGCGGCTGCCGCGTGTCCGACACCGGCGGGACGATCCAAAGTGCCGGGTTTGCTCCCGCGGCGGCTCCTTGCTGCTCGGCCCTGGGAGCTGCTCCCGCCCCGGAGCCGCTCCGACCGGAGCAGCGGGCCCAGCCCCGCGGGGACCTGCCCCGCGCCGCATTCCTGCGTCCTGACGTGCCAGCCGCTCCCGGGCGCGCGTGCAGCACGGGGTGCAAAACAGAGCACCCCTGCGACGGGAACGGCGCCGGAACGGGCATCCCGAAACGGGCATCCCGAGACGGGCATCCCAAAATGGGGATCCTGAAACGAGCATCCTGAAACGGGCATCCCGAGATGAGCATCCTGAAACGGGGATCCCGAGACGGACATCCCGAAATGGGGATCCTGAAATGAGCATCCCGAAACGGGCATCCCAAGATGGGCATCCCGAAATGGGGATCCTGAAATGGGCATCCCGGAATGGGGATCCCGAGACGGACATCCCAAAATGGGCATCCCGAAACAGGCATCCCGAGACGGACATCCCAAAATGGGCATCCTGAAACRAGCATCCCGAAACGGGCATCCTGAAACGSRCATCCCGARATRGRCATCCTGAAACGGGGATCCYGAGATGGGCATCCYGAAATGGGGATCCTGAAATGGGCATCCCGGAACGGGGATCCCGAGACGGACATCCCAAAATGGGCATCCTGAAACGGGCATCCTGAAACGGGCATCCCGAGATGGGCATCCCGAAATGGGGATCCTGAGATGGGCATCCTGAAACGGGGATCCCGAAAAGGGCATCCCGGAACGGGCATCCCCAAAATGGGGATCCCAAAACAGGCATCCCCGCGGTGTCACCAGCTCCATCCTTGTCTCCAGAGGCCGGTGCCCACCTTGGTGTCATCCCTCACGGGTCGGCCATGGGACAGCGCTGTGTTCCCGTGCGCCCATCACCGGGACTCCTTCCCCTTGCCGTGATTTTGGGAGCGCCCTGCAGGATTTGGTGACACGGGAGCCACGAGACTCCAGGGTCCTGCTCAGAAGCTGCTTCCCACTATAGGGGAACATGCAGCCCATGACTGCAGGGATGCAGGGACACAGGGATGCAGGAACACAGGGATGCAGGGACACAGGGATGCAGGGACTGCAGTGTGCTCCCTAAGTGATGCAGCATCCCCCAGAAACCCTGCAGGAATGAGCGGAGCGCGGCCGGCGGCTCCGCTGGCACCGGGATGCTCCGCACGTGCAGAGCATCCCGGTGCCAGCGGCAGCCCCGGGGCAGCCCCAGTCTCTCCAGTGTCCAACCGGTCTCTCCAGTGGCGCCTCGTAAAGGCTGATCATTAACAGCGCCGGCTCGCGCCGCCCGCCAGCCCGGCCGAGACACCGGATTATTTTTGTTGTGACCCGTCGGCAACCGACCTGCTGTCGGCTCCGTCGCGCTGATAGGGACCAGACGGAGATTCCTTTCCGGACGGAGAGGCGGGAGCGAGCGGGGAGCCTGGGTGCTGCTGCGGGGCTGATCTTTAACCCGCGGCTCKGCCGGGGCTTCGGCGCCTCCGAAATTTTCTCCTGCTGTTAGCGGCCGCTTCCTTCCCGCCCGGAGAGCGCGGGGTCTCGTGGAGCTGCAAGGTGGGATATGGGGACCGCGGGGAGGGGGAGCTGGGGACACAGTGGCAGCGCCCCCAATCCTGACCCCAATCCCAATCCTGAGCCCAATCCTGATCCTGTTCCCAATCCTAATCCTGAGCCCAATCCTGAGCCCAATCCCTACCCCAATCCTGATCCTGAGCCCAATCCTAATCCCCATCCCAACCTCAATCCCCACCCCAATCCCAATCCTGATCCCGCTCCCAATCCCAACCTCAATCCTGATCCTGATACCAATCCCGACCCCAATCCTGATCCTGATACCAATCCYGACCCCAATCCTGATCCTGATCCTGATCCCAATTCTAATCCCCCTCCCAACCTCATTCCCCACCCCAATCTCAATCCGAGTCCCAATCCTGATCCCAGTCCCAATCCTGATCCCGATCCCAATCCCAATCCCAACCTCAATCCTGATCCTGATCCCAATCCCGACCCCAATCCTGATCMTGATCCCAATCCTAATCCCCCTCCCAACCTCAATCCCCACMCCAATCTCAATGCCAGTCCCAATCCTGATCCCAGTCCCAATCCCRATCCCAATCCCRATCCCAGGCTGTGGGAGCTGGGGGGGTTGCGGGAGGGCAGCGGCTCCCGCGGGGATCACGCAGCACGTTGGGGAGCACTCGGGGCTCGCGAGGCCGCCGCTCGGTGCCCGGGGCCGGCAGCAACGCGGCGGGCAGCGCCTCTCCCCGCAGCCGCGCGGGGCGCAGGGCGGCGTTCCTGCCTTTATTTACAC